TGTTTGAGAAGCCAATAATTCAGAAGCCTTTAGACAAATAATACATATCTTGATATTATAAAATGATTTTTAAGAATTGTCATTTTACCCATTTTCTAGTAATTCCTTCCATTAGGTTCTCTTTGAAGATGATGAATTGAAGCATCTCACTTCACAGGCAGGGAAAAGGAACATGCATACGAGGACCCAGAATTCTAAGGCAATGTTGTTTGACTATTTAGATGAAACCAATTTTCCAAGCAATATTTTCTGTAGCATTTAGGAGGCCAAGAGCAAATGACTTCAAGGTGGGATCCCATTTGCAATGTCAGTTGCCGCCATCTAGTGGCTTTCCGCAGGAATCGTGTGGTTCTTTGGGTTTTTTCCAAAGGCCAGGAAAAAAAGTAATTGCCTGGAAGAATTCCTGAGCTTACCTACCACTTAGCCCTTATCAGAACTAAGAATTTGCCAGGCGCAGTATCTCACCTCTGTAATCCCAGCGGCTCAGGAGGCTGAGAAAGGAGGAACACAAGTTCAAGACCAGTCCCAGCAACTTAGGGTGGCCCCTAAGCAACTTAGTGAAACCACTTCTCAAAATAAATAATGAAAGGGTTGGGGATGTTGCTCAGCTTAACACCCCTCTGGGTTCAATCCCTGGCACAAAAAGAAAGAAAGAGAAGGAGGGAGGGAAGGAGGAAGGAGAAAGGAGGAAGGAAGGCGAATTTAAGTTGAAAGACCAAGAATAGAAGGATCTGTTATTACCCATATCCTTATAAAAGCAAAAACCTGGCCCTAAGAATTTGTGGATAGATGATTTAAAATGAATAAAATAGCCTGACTTCTTCAGACTCAAGTTTTCAGTAAGACTTTGCAAACAAATCCTTTACAGCATATTTTGATGTAGTTTCTTTACTTACTTGAGGCAATGAGGAGGCAAATGGACCCAGTCTGGAAAGAAATCATCAGAGTTCCTGGGAGAGGATATATATATATATATATATATATATATATATATATATATATATATATATATATATCCTTCTATTGGGTTCTCTTTGGAGATGATGAATTGAGTCATCTCACTTCACAGGCAGGACATACTCAGATCTACTGAATCTCAATCTCCAGTGAGTTGCCCAGGAATTTCTTTTTTAGTTCCAGGAGATTCTGATGATAAATCATTTGGGGAACAAGTAGGAAAGAACCTGGTGTTTGGAACTGGACACACCTGAGCTTGAATCCTGGCAGTGCCACTTTCTTTTCTATGCAAACTTGGACAAGTCATTAACCTCTCTGAAATGGGGATCCTCATAATTATGCAGAGGATGCACCTAAGGATTGAGTGAGGTGACAAATTTCTACCTAGGTGTAGCGTGCAGTGGCTGCAAAATCCTACAGGCTTCATTGGAGAGACCCAAATCCTGAACCTTGTCCTAGTGTGGAGTATGGCACAAAAAATTTTATGTTCTTCTGACCTCCAAGAGTTCCCTCCTATTGTTGCTGATCCATCCTCCCACAGGTGTCTTGAGGGTCCCCTCTGTCTTGGTTTCCCTTTCCCTATCTTGTCTTCCCTTCTTTCAGCATTCTGACTCAATCCTTTGCTGCATCCGGTGCTAGCAAGATTCATTTGCTTGACATTTTCATGTCCCACAAAGTTGAGAGCTAGGGAAACGAACTTCTTTTACTACTATTGATTATTTTTCATTACATTTTTGCTAAATTATGTTTAAAAGACCACTTCCTTATTGGATATGAAAATGGAACAGAAAAGTAGTTCCTACCACAAATGCAAAATGCCTGAAACATAAAGAGGAGCTCCTTGCCCTTAAGTCCCTTCCCTGTCTCCATATCCTTTGACTTTTTTTTTTTTTTATTCCTTGCTAGGTCAAATTTGAACTGCTCCAGCAGAAAGGCTGCTGTCCCAAAAACAGGTCAAGTTTAGGACCAGAAGCCAGGAAATAAGTCCACAGAAAAGTGGATACTCGGCATCTATTTTCATGGTTCTGTTGTCTCTTTTTACCCTAGTCACCTGTCACAACTCTCTCACCTCTCTCAGGTGCAGCCATTAATTAAGAAGATACTGGACTATGGGTGATGGGGGATAAAGAAAAGACAAACAGACACACATAGGGAGAATAAGCTGGGGCCAGGTGGGTTACTAAGCTCTGGTGAGGCTTGGTTGACTCCAGAACTAGCTCAGCAAGTTTGTTGTTCAGATTTCACCATCAAAAGGTTATTTGTGGGAAAGTTTCAGTGAAGCAGGCAATCTTAAGGACACAGGACTGGAGAGACATTAGGGTCATCTTGTTTTGCTCAGAATTCATTCTCCCTGGGAGAAGGTATTGAACTCAAGGCCTCAACTGATGATGCCATATGCCTTTGCCCATAGACACCCTTGGCCAGCGTTACCATAGCAACTGGGGCATCTTGACCTGTACCTTCGAACAAGCAGCTCCCAGTGAAAACACAGCCATGAGAGTCAGATGGGCCATGATTTAGACCACTGCTCTCCACAGTCACCTTAAAAGCCACGCTGGCTTCCAAGGTCAACTTTTTGACAATGCAACAAGTCACACCAAAATGAAACAATTTTTAAATAAATGATCATTTGTCTTTGGTGTTGGTTAATGTGGGAGTGGTGCTCACACTGTGGCCTGCAGCTTGATGTTCTCAGGGTTTTCCTCCTACTACTTGAATCATCACTTCTCAGTCTCCTTGGCCAGCTCATCCCCATCCACCAGTTTCTCAGTTTTGGAGCTCAAATCTGCTGTCCTTGGCACTGCTCTTCTCAGTCTTCACCTTGCCTTTGACCTTGGTTTCAGTCATGCTCTCCCCAGGGATGATTTCCAAGTGTACAGCCAACACAGACCTCTCCTCTGAGCTCCTTGCCTAACTAATTACTACTCAAAACCTAAACTCATATTTCTCAAAGATGTCTCCAACTCAACCTTCTGCAAACCAAATTTTTATCTTTCTTCTAAATCCCACCCAAAAGAGGTCTTCCTCTAGGGGCCCCAACTCAGTAAATAACACTATCCATCCTTTGTTCTGGGTGTCATTGGGAGCCTTGGCTCTTCTTCTCTAGTTAGGTCTATATATTCATAGAGCCATCAATGTTCCTCTGTCATCTTCAGTCCATCCTCTTTGAAACCTCAGTTCATCATTCTTTGTCCTCCTCACTTCTCTCCCCACTTCATAGTTACTCTTCTCTAATCTCATTTCCACACTGCACCCAGAATTATCATATTTTTTTTAAAGCAAAGGTAATCATGTCACTACTGTGCTTCATACTGCCAGTGGCTTCCCATTTCCCTTAAGATGGACCAGCATTAGAATGGCCTGCTGGCCCTGCCTGAGCTCTCCAGCCCCATTTTGAGCTTCTCTTTCCCTCACTTGGAGCTGCAGTCAACTGAGCTCTTTCAGTTCCTTAAACAGATCATGTTCTCACCCTGCCTTGGGGCCAGAGCACAGGCTGTTAACTCTACCCAGAACACCTTAGTTCCCTAAAAACTCCCAATCTTCCAAATTCTGCTAGAAAATTACCTCCTCAAGAAACTATCTTGGACTGCCTTGTTAGCCTTTCCCCCCAGCTGGCCTTCTAAGGTTTTTATAGCAAAGCACAACGAGCTGTGCGACTACAACAACATAAACGTATTATAACTCAGTGTTGGGGGAAAGGAGTCTGAAATCAAGATATCTATATGGTTGGTTCCTTCTGAAGGCTGTAAGGGAGAATTTGTTCCATGCCTCTTCCGTAGCTTCTGATCATTTGCTAGTGATCTTTGACATTCCTTGGCTTGTGGAAACAAGACATTCCTGGTCTTTGCCATTATCTTCACATGGTGTCCTATTTATAAATGTGTCTGGGTCCACATTTCTCCATTTTATAAGAAAACCAACATATTAGGTTAGAGGCCCATCCTATGGTAGTTTATTCTATCTCAACTAATTGCCTCTGCATTGACCCTATTTCCCAATAAGATCAGATTCTGAGGTATGAAGGGTTGGGATTTAAACATGTAAATGGTAGAGGGCACAATTCAACCCATAACATGCCCCGTTCACTTTCAAGGTTGGGTCCTCCAGTTATATGTTGTCAAATACTTTTTTATTCAAAGCACTGGTCACAATTTTTAATTATCAGTCAAATAATTACGTAAGCAAAAGTCAACCTATTGCCCATAGATTATAAGCTCCACTAAGGACATGTCCACTTTCATTGGCTATTGCATCCCCATGCCTGACATGCAGCAGTCATTCAGCAAATGCTCACTGGGTGAAAAATTAACTCTCCAGGCCCCTCATTGCACATCACATTGTGAAGAGACCAGCTTCATCTCCCAAGTCTGCTCAGTCCCTTCTCAGTGTCTTGCTATTCAGCTTGTGGAACACAAGGACATCTGAGATTTTTAAAAGGCTATAGGCAGACCCAAGGACATGAGTTACCACCCAGTCTTAGTGACCCCTCAAAACTCAAATATGATGTCCTCCATGAAGCCTAGACTCTGTAGAAAAAGACATCACTAAGGTTTGTTAACACATTGCATTTCACTTTAAATGTTTCTCCTAATTACCTGTGATTGTCACTGCAGGAGTCTGAGTGAGCTTCTCTGGAGATCTTAAAAACAGGACCCTTCCCTAAGGAGTCGAATAGGTCAGCTGGGTGGTCAAGAGATTAGTAAAATAAAGTAACCTCCAGGTACCTCTTTGACATCTAATATTCTAAGAACTTGCTATTTGATACTTTGAACATGCAGTGCAGACAGAAAACAATTTAGTCTCTTAACTCTCTGACCAATATTTCAATTGGTAAGTCACCAGCAACAGTGCAATAGAAATAAAGAACCCAGATAGGTCAAAAAGCCTTTGGCACAGATAACGACTGTAATGCCATTGAGATCGCCTTCCCTATGCAGGAATAAGTGCTACTGCAAAGTGTTCAGATAGTTTAATGACTGGCTTTTGTGTTTCATCATCTCATGGCATGAGGAATGCTGAATACTCTAATGTTGGACTTCTAGAAGCTTGAACCCATTGACCTGCCACAAGTAATTACCTCCGAAAGACTCCTGAACCAGCAACAAACCTGGACAAGGCACAAAGCAAAGGTGAGCTATGGGAGTCACCTGAGGGGGTGGTTAGCAGGGGACAGGCTGCATGGGAACAGGGCAAGCGGTCTTTCTCATGTCCTGTCTGCACTAAAGAGTTCAAAGCCAGATCAAACAGATAAATCCTTTGCAGTGAGAACCTTTCAGAGCTAGCCATTCTCACGTGTGCAAGCTGCTCTTTCCTGTTGGATGAGAATACACCATAGGGAAATAGATTCCATTTAACCAGTCAGTGGCTGTTCTACAACCAGCCAATCAGTCAGTGGTAGAAGAGGCAAGGAGAGAAAGGAAGGTGTCATTTAATCAGAACACATTTCTAGAGGGATAGTAATAAGCAGGGAAAATTATGTATTGTCAAAGTGAGATTTTCAAAATGAAATTATCAAAGTTTTTGCATTCGAGGTCTGCAAAACTCTACAGGAACCTTTAAAACTACCTTATATATACTGCAAAGTGCCACTTCACTCACTGATAGTGATACAAAGGACTTGTCAAGGATGCACAGTAGTCCACATTTATCATCACAAGAAATCTCTATGGATTATAATGGCTTAAGATCTCACTCTGTTCCAAGAAGAATTTAAGGTTGTAGATTGCAGTCAGTAACAAATTACCCTGCACTAATGACTGTGTCATCTTTCATAGCAAAAACTGGAAAAGAAAATGCAAACTCCAACATATACTTCTGGGAAAAGACAATATTTGCATAAAATGCAAATGCTGGAAATGAACCATAGAAGACAAGAGGTAAATATAAGAAGAATGTCATATTTACCAAATGTATACCACATAATCACTGCCCTGGCACATGAATATAGTAAGTGCACATGTCTAGTCCTGACTTAGTATCTTAAAAGTCATTGGAGCTAAAGATTCAACTACTGAACCTGGGAAGACAGGAAGATCCCTTCTGCTAACAACCCTACTGACTCTGTTCTCTGTTTTCAGTCCCCTTGAAAATATATCTATGCCTCAGTCTCCCTTTTTTAAAATAGGTCACTTCTCTGACATTCTGGCTCTAGCGGAAAATGGAGTAGATCATTTTTCTTTGTTTAGTAAAAGGAGTGGGGGGGCTGGGGATGTGGCTCAAGTGGTAGTGCGCTCGCCTAGCATGTGTGAGGCACTGGGTTCGATTCTCAGCACCACGTAAAAAAAATTATAATAATAAAGATATTGTGTCCACCTAAAACTAAAAATAAATAGTAAAAAAAAAGGAGTGGGGCTGGGAAAGAGTTGGTCTTTATTCCGACACCTAGGCCTCTTTCTGTAAATCATGTTGTACAATTCTCCTATAAGAAACACCTTGTCTTAGTCCATTTTCTGCTGCTGTAACAGAATATCACAGACTAGGAATTAATAAAGACAAGAAACTTAGCTTCACAATTCTGGAGACTGGGAAGTCTAAGATCAAAGTGCTAGCATCTCGTAGGGGCCTTGCTGCGTCATAACATAGCTGAGGGCATCACACGGTGACAGAGTGTGAGAGTGAGAAGACAGGAACGAAAGAGAGCTAAGGCACCCAACTTGGAAACAAACCCACCCCTAGGATCCTGGAATCACAGCCTTAATAAGGTTGCCCTCCAAATACCATCAATATATGAATTTGGGGAGTAAATTCATTTATTAGGAGACACAGTCAAACCATAACAGATAATAAACCTTTTTACCAGTGATGTCCCATAACTGTCATATTCTAAATTCCTGCCTCTGAGGAATGAGCCTGTAGTAACTGACTACAATTCCACAGAGAAAGGCTTCTACAATCATCCTCGCCTTAATTGAGCAATACTTTTAGACTGTGGGCACATTCCCCTTTCTCCTAACAAGCCTGAGAATAAAAAAATGTCACCACACCTTCTAACAGAAAAAGAAAATTTTATTGTGGTTAAGGGACCACAAGATGTCTGTGGACAATCTACAACTTGCACAGTGGCTAAACTGCTGATCTATTCCTGCAAGGATAGCTTGAAGAGAACATTGACCATTTATTGCTGATTTTCAGGTCCAAATGGAGTTGAAGAAGAGTCTTCATAGGGAAGAAAGAATTACTAAGCAAAACCTTAAAGTCAAGAAAATTCTTCAAAGCATCCCAGGGAATGAAGATGATGACCTTCTAACCACGTTATCTGATGAAACCATGAACAGAGGCCCAGGTGATCCATGTGGCATTTTTAGTAAAATATCTCAAGCATTTTTAAAACTTCATCAAATATACTCCTAGGGTGGGGGTTTGAAGGAGAGTGGGAAAACAGCAAACATCCTTGGTTTCTTGCTGATGTTTTACTTCTCAGATGTAGTGGGCATGTTGTTACATAATTTTGGGTAGCTGGGGGGAAAAGACAGAAGCTTAAGCTCTGTAATAAGATGTTTCTTTCTTTTTTATGGGTGTAACATGATTTATATACCTTATTAGAATCCTCACCCCATCCCTAGGAAGAGAAGAGGTCAAACAAAACAAAAAAAGCCTTAAATTATGGTTAGAATGAAGCATGTGGAAATATTAAATAGCCCGCAGCCATATAGCAAACTTGCATTAGCTGGTTTGACATCATATGCAGAATCCCTGTCCCTTCTGCAGATCAGCTCTCCTGGGCACACACACAGAAGGCCTCAAATGTATCCATCATCATTGCCTTCCCGTAGCTGGCTCTTCTTGCAGAACCAAGACACTAGATGAGGCCTCCATGCCCAGTCTGTCTCAGGCCAGAGCCCTGGAGCCCTCTCCAGACTTTCTTCTCCTTCTCCTTGCAGCTGGTCAGTCACAAAGTCCTGTTGAGGTCACCTTATGCTGAAATCTATCCTCTCTTTTGTTCTCAGTGGTGTCACCTTAGGTCAGGCCCTCAGTCTGTCACACCAGGGCTACTGCTATAGCACCTGACCAGGTCTCCCCCTTACATCTTACCCACCTTCCAGCAACCCTCCACTCCAGTGGTTCTCAGTGTGGTCCTCAGGCCAGCAGTATCAGCATCACCTGAGAACTTGCCCAGGCCCCAGAAACAGTGGCTGAATCGGAAACTGCAAAAGTGAGGCCTCAAGTCTAGGTTTGACCATCTTACAGGTGATCCTGATGCCCCTAAAGATTGAGAAACACTGAACTTGAAGTATTTCTTTACTCTGCTCAGTGATCAAAGAAGGACCTCAGGTCCAGCAGCATAGGCACTGCCTGTGAGTGGCCTAGAAATGTAGAATTCCAGAGCCCCCCCGACCTACTGAATCAGGATCCACTCTCAAGATCCCCAGGTGATTCTCATACATACTGAAGTTTTAGAAGTTCTACATGCAATCATAAAATGCAAATCTGATCATGTCATTCTCCTGCTTAAAAAAAAAATTGTTCTGTGAGTGTTCAAGACAAAACTAAACTGCTCAACACAGGGTTCTAGGCCTTTCTAGCTACTGCCCTCCTTCCTAGCATCATCTCCTGCCAGTTTCCTGTCCAACCAACCCAAATTACTCTGTGAACTCAGATTATTCATAACTTTCTTAAGAGACATATCTGTCCTCAACCTTGACACTATGCTGCCCCACCAATTAGAGCCCCATTCGGTTTTCCCTGCCCATATTCCCCAAGGTAAACCTGAAGTTGAAAGTGAACATTTTTTGTTTGCACAAGCAGTGCTGACCTGTGGGCCAAACCCCACATCAGTGGGACTGGCCATGGAGAGAGCTGCAGAAACACTGACCATGTCTCTGGAGATCTAGAACTTCTAAGATGCAAAATCACCTGCTCAAAGAGACATGGCCCCAGCTCAGAGGAACAAGATGCTTCATCAATAAGTTAATTAAATAAGAAAAGGCTGAATAATTGAAAATCCACTTGGGGCATCCATTTAACCTGTGCTCCCAAATCTCAGAATGAAATATGCTTTGTAGCACAGAGATAAACAACCTTTACAATTCAAAAAATTGGGCACAAGGGCTGGGGATGTGGCTCAAGCGGTAGCACGCTTGCCTGGCATGTGTGTGGCCCGGGTTCGATCCTCAGCACCACATACAAACAAAGATGTTGTGTCCGCCAAATACTAAAAAATAAATATTAAAATTCTCTCTCTCTCACCCTCCCTCTCTCTCACTCTCTCTTAAAAAAAAAAAAAAACAGACATTGACCAATGGATTGGCTCACTGAAGCTGGCAAGATCTATCAATTCTTAAATTATCACATTTCCTCCAATATTTCTCCCGCCCTTTAAAAAAAAATTGGGCACAACAACCAAGAAGAGAGCCTCAGTGAAAATTAGACACTCCAACAACTCATCACTTAAGACCTAAAAGGAAACCAACATTGGAAAAGGCTTTGGAATACACCCCAAGACCTGGAGGGGCCCAGGAGAGACTGTGGCACACAGAAAAGGGGGTTTTCCTCTGCTGTCCTGGGCTTTTTTAAGTGGTTCCATTTTGTTGAAGTTGAGGTTTGTTGAGTGTGCATGATAAACCAGTCTGTGCTCCTCCCTTAACAGATATTGTCTCCTTTAATTCTCATACAACTTAGAATGTAGGACTTACTACTGTGCACTCCATGTGACAGCCAGGATTCAAAGTCCGGACTTTTTTACCCATCAGCTCACACAGGCTCATCAGGACCCCAAGGACTCAGAGCTCTGTGCAGACACCTCAAGAAAGCCTGCAAACCTATCAGCTGAGACTCCTCAACCCTCCCTTTTAGAAGAAGGCTGCACTCTGGGGCTTCTAAAATGAACAGAATTGACCTGCTTGGTCTCCTGCCCCTCAGCTCTCCCAGGGTGGGACAGAAAAAGTGACACGGGCAGAAGTCAAGCCACTCACCAGGCAGGGAGGTGAAGCACAGCCTGGTCATGAACTCCTGGGGAGCTTTCAAATGCTCTGATTCCTGAGTCCCACCTTCATCCTACTGAATGAATCTCTAGATAGGGGTCCAGAGAATTCTACTTTTTAAAAGTCCCAGAACTGACTTTAAAGATTAGCCAAACTTGGACTCAATAACCCTTGAGAACTCCCTCAACACTTAAATTTTATGACAATCTTTTCTTTATAATGCGTGTGTGTGTGTTTCCTTTGCCTGTGTGTGCACCTGTATGTGAGGGTACACATGACAAAATGAGCCTAGAAAAATGTAGATTTTGCTAGCATGAAACTCTAATTCTTCTCATTAGAATGAAATCACAAGTAATTAGAATCTCATGGTCTGCATCAACACACTTAACCTATTGCTGGAGTTGTTGGAAAGGGAAGTAAAGCAAATATCACTGAGCATTTATTCATTGATGGAGAGATTACAATGCATGCCAGATGACCCTTCTCTTCTATGCTATAAGTCTCATTGTACACTGTACATATTAAAGTATAGAATATTGGGATAATAATGGGCAGAGCCAGTATTTAAAAGTAGTTTCTAACATTTTAAATGCATTATTGAATCCTCCACATATCAGGTCTGTGAGGTGAGAGTTATTACCAACTTTCTTTTACAGTTGAGGAGATTAGATCCAGAGAGGTCAAGTCCATGGTCAAGATCATAGCCTTGACCTTGCAAGTCGTGAAACTGCTCAAGGGATCCACGCTCAGAGCACCTGACTCCAGAGCCTACACACCCCACTGCACTTGGCAGATGGTCTAGCAATGAGTCCTTTTTATTTCCAGGGAGCATCTTTGCTTTCTTTCCCTGCCTTCTAAAAGTACTTAGCTTTGCTGTCTCCTACAAGTGGGGCATAGCCAAGATCCTACATGTACTTGAGCATCCTGCTTGTCAGCATTTGGCCATTAAGTTTCCTCTGTAACAGTCCCCTTTTAGTCAATGATATATTCACCCTTTCTTGTTCTCCCTTTGGAAGGTGGGCTGAGAGTTTTGGCCCTCTTGTGAGAAAAGAAAAATCAATCTTTTCTTTTGCCTCTTTAAAAATCACCTGCTCTTTGCATATACTTTATATATATTTCCCTGATAAATTACATATATAGATCATATGACCTGTATAATTATATACAACATACTTGAAGTGAGCATTGCTCTTTGGGGTGTATGAGTTTTGATGTGCTTTTGAGGCGTCTCCCCTTTCCAGAAGCCATGGTTCGAATACAGTGGAGGGAAGGTGCTGGACACAGGGTCAAAGTCCTTCACTGAGTCCCAACAGAGCACTCACTAAACATAAGCTCCAAGAGAGCAGCACGTTTTCTTGTTCCTACAACAGGGCCTGGCACATACTAGCCTCTCAATAAATAGTAACTTTTATAGTTACTATAGTATTTTTCTACATGGTTTTATTCTACATACAGAATATAGCTGAATTACACTTCAATAACCTCTGTGAACCTAAGTTTCGACATCAGCAAAATGGGAATAAATATTGTCTGCCATGTAGGGTTTATGTAAAAATGAACCTTATGTGTGTAACAGCACAAATAAAATGTAAAATACTTTTTAAACATATAGGGGAATGGACAAAACAGAAAGGATGGAATTGATATCATAGAGCAAAACAACCATATGCTTCACAGAAATGTCACCCTAAATCCATCATTTGAAAATTACTTCACAATTCTGTTCTTATCTGGCTACCTGTACTATTTTCCTGCAGACTGTCTTGTTTTGCTTTTTAAATATAACTTTGTGAAATTGTGGGTCTGGCATAGTAGTGGTACACTTTTCTAAAACACATATTATAAAGCACACAACCACCAACATTGGCCATGTTCTGTGATCCTTGTACACCCTAAATCACTCCCCAAGTCACTCCCCAGGTTTTCCCCCTTGGCCTATGTGGTTTCTCCAGTTAATTTTGGAGTAGGATACACCTGCCCTTTACTCTGCTCACTCAAAACCCATTTAAGTTCTTTAAAGTTATGGTTTTGTTTTTGTTTTTTACTCTTTTTAAGTCTATAAACCACAGAGAACCAAAGATCTTATAGAAATGTAAGAAGTAATAAAACATCTAGCTCAAAAGGTCTCAACTTTAATGCTAGGTACACAGAACCATATATTTAATACAGTGTCAGTGATTGATTTTCAAGGATAAAACTGAATGTGTGAATTTTGCCTCATGCTGTAACTTTATATCTGAATTATCATAGCATCAACAGGGCTGTGGGATTGAAGCTATCATTAATATTACATTAGATCACACTACTAACAAACATTTCCTTCCTGTTTCAAAGCTCCTGACTCTACTTAGATGTTTTAGAAAACTCATGTTCCTAGTCTACTTAGATGATGCCTTGAATAGTTTTGGCTCATTTGCAGAGCAGAGATGACTGATACCCCTAAATCCCAACGAATGAAGTCTTTCCCAGGTCCTAATTACCACTACTTCTCACTTTTTCCTAAAATTTTCTGATCATTCATTGATTCATTCACTTATTCACTCACTCACTCAATGGGTACTTACTGATCATATAACAGGTGCCAGGCATGGTGTGGTAGATTTATTCTATGATAGTGAGCTAGGTAGATGTGAATCTTGGCTTCTGGAGCTTTCATAGTATACCCAATGAATAGGGAGATGTTCAGGGAGAGTATAACTGGAAGTTAAAATAACCTGCAAGGTCAGATTTCTGTAAAGAAGTAACATTTAGCTGAGACATGAAGTAACTGGAAGAAAAGGCTGAAATGCCATGAGAATGAGAACCAGGAATGCTGGAACGTTCAAACTGTAATTACTGCCAGCATGTGAAAAAGCCCTGTGGTGGGAAGAAGCTCAGTGGGTTCTAGATACTTGTCAGAGCAGAGAGGTTCAAAGAGTGACTAGAGATGGTTCTGAGGCATCAACAGGGCCAGATCAACCCAGGTATTGCAGGTAATGTCAAATAAGAATTCTGAAGTCTATCTTAAGATCAAGAAAAAGCCATTGATGGGAGTGGCATGGTCAGTGTTATATTTTTAAATATCACTCTGTCTACATTGTGGAGAAATGCAAAAGGAAATGGAAAGGAAATGCAATTGTGCATGTGGTTATAAGAACACAGCAGTAACACAGGTGAAAAATGGTGTGTGGATGGGGAGAGTACAGCGAAGATGAGGGTGGAGAGGGTTCAGATGAGAGAATTTTGCAGAACCTGGAGATGTTTTGGACATAGGTAAATGGAGAAAGTAAGAAGGCCAGGTAGATTCCTGGGTTCCTCTTGAATAACTGAATGAGTAATGGGGCAAAAGTGGTACCATTTGTGGGATTAGGGTAGCCAAGATCTGAGCAGGTTTGTGTGAGAAATAGACATCAAATAGACATCAAAGTGTAAGTGTCCAGTTTTACCATAAAAAAGGCTTGTAGCTTAGAGGAGAGGTCAAGGCTGCAGAAATAAATTAACTAGCTATCTCTCATGGCTATGTAAATAAGCAAAAAATAACAATGATGATGGTATTCCTCCAAAGCCCTTTGCTCAGGCAGAAAGAAAACTGGTATGTCACAGGCATGAATCCTTACATTGCAATACTTGATTCTCAACTCACCAGGCTGTAAACATTAAATATGTACATACTGGTTTTTGTATGTTATCATACCTCAATAAAGTAGTTTTTAAGAATATGAGGCATAGATGTCAGGCGCCGCACACGCCTGTAATCTCAGTGGCTCGCGAGGCTGAGAAAGGAGGATCGTGAGTTCAAAGCCAGTCTCAGCAATGGTGAGGCACTAAGCAACTCAGTGAGACCCTGTCTCTAAATAAAATACAAAATAGGGCTGGGGATGTGGCTCCGTGGCCAAGAGCCCCTGAGTTCAATCCCCAATACCAAAAAAAAAAAAAATATATATATATATATATATATATATATATATATATATATTGCATAGAGGAAAAAAGAAACACTTGATTTTCTTATATAATAGTAAAAAACTTCAGATATTAATGATTTAAATAAAATATGCCAAAAGATTTAATAAGCGATTATCATTCATATGACTCAATCTGCTCCATCCAGACTGGTGGAGACTTTAGACTTTGACCTAGGATTATTTTCCTAGCTCAGAAGTGATTGGGAAGATTTTGTTTTTTGGAAAGCCAGACTTACTTGGGCAAAGTCCACATTGCTCTGTGCATTCTAAAAGAAGGCTGGGTACTGCTTAAATTAAAAAGCTAAAGTAAATATATATGAGCACATAATCAAACCTCACACATAAATTAAGTAAGAAAGAAAAGAAAAGAAAAGGACAAAGTCTGACTTACTGAGCTCCCCAGTTCCATAGATCTGCAGTGTGGTCCGGGCATTTGGCATTACAGCCTGCACAGGTGATTCTGATACGAAGTCAGAGTTGATGTGAAAGTTTAAAAAAGCATCATGTGCCTAACACACAGTAGATGTTCAATATCCTTGTCCAAAATGTTGAATTTAACCACAAGGAAACAATCAGAAAAGCCTAAGATTGGTCATTATGCAAAATAATTGACCTGTACTCTTTAAAATGTCAGTATCATCCCTTGGGCTTAATCTCTAATACTGAAATAAAAAAAAAAAAAAAAGAAAGAAAATGTCAGCATTGCAAACAATGAAGACAGAAGAAGCAGGGGAGAAGGAGGATGAAGGAGAAAGGAAGTGAGAGGTGAGAGGACCTTATGTGGATAGGCTAGGGGTTTTTTTGTTTTGTTTTGTTTTCTTGTGGTGCTGGGGCCTCATATGTACTAGGCCACTGCTCTACCACTACCACTGAGATACACTTCCAGCCCCAGGATTCTCTAATTAGAGATGAAAAGAGAAGAAAATAAAATAGAATGCATGATTCTGGACTGGATTCTGGGCCTAAAAATTAAAACATGAGCCAGGCACAGTGGCACATGCCTATAATCCCAGGAGCTTGGGAGGATAAGGCAGGAGGATAGCAAGTTCAAAGCCAGCCTCAGCAACCTAGTGAGGTCCTAAGCAACTTAGCAAGACCCTGTTTCTAAATAAAATATTAAAAAGGGCTGGGGAATGTGGCTCAGTGATTAAGCACTCCTGGATTCAAAAAAATAAAAACAAAACATAAACAAAATATTGCTCTAAATAGCACTATTGGACCAACCATGGATATTTGAATATGGATTATATATTAGAATAGTATTAGATCAATATTAAG